TGTGATTCTGAAATTCTTAAAATTCAGAATCTTCTTCGAGAGTTTGGAATCCTGAAATTACTGAAATTCGGAAATTCTAGAAATTGCTGAGATTTTCAAATGCTCTTTTCTTCGAGAATATGTAATTTAGAAATTCAGTTTGGAAATAACGCCGAGGTACGGACCGATATTAGGTTTGAATGCTCAACTGAAAAATTCTGAAATAGTTTACTGGACGATGAGATCGAAGGTTTTCATCCGTTTCGTGAATGGTGGCTTATGACAGATTGTAAAGCTCAAGTACATAACGTTAAATTATGTAAAGCTGAATAATATGAAGGTCTACATAGAGCAACGACATGTTTGACGTGTTCTGGCGAGGTCGATCAATAATTACGCAGATTGAACTTACGGCTGTCCAGCTGGAAGAGGATCTGATTAGTAAATATCGAGCAGAATACAACCGATATTGCCGTTTTCGTAATCATTTGGCTTTAAATAGCTACTATCAGGAAAATCATATATTCCCGAAAACAATGCAGTTTGATAGTCCCCATCAATCATTCGGCACTCAAGTTGATACAATTCGGAATAAATGGGAGAATATCATTCATGAGATGAAGTTAAAGTTATTACAATGTGAGGCTGAAGCTATATCACAAACGATTGAGTCGACAGAATCAATATGCATGACTATACGTAGTAAATTGTCTGCAACAAAGAGGGAGACTGAATTGGTGGATGTTGAGTGTGAGGAAGGATTGAAACTTAAAGAAACGATCGACAAATTGGTGAATAAAGTTTTCCGAACGAAGATTCGGGAGATTATCCCCCAAAAATGGTTGGAAAACACAATGTCCACGTCTTCTACGCTCAACTCCAATAGCTCGGCTACACCTACACTGGACGATACGCAGGTTCAGAAATTGAACCGATCCAAACAAAAAGCCTTGCAACATCAGAAAACTTGATTAATTTGTCGAGGATGTGGCAAACAGGGCCATAAACAATTTAGATGCTTAGCAAAATGTGCGTTTTGTCGAGGTGGAAGACATTCAGAGGAATACTGTAAGAAGAAAAAGAATCAGATTCAGTCACCATACTCACCTGGACAAATGAATACAGAATTTGTCTCGATTCGAGACACCCTCACCATCCCATCGTTTTTCGAGAGTCTCGAAAAACGATGGGATGGTGACGGAACTTAGAGCTTTAGCTCAAGGATCAGATTCTAATGAGACGCCACAGTTAGTTACACTGAATGAAGGTCGTCCACCACCTCGTACGAATTCAAGTTACTTAAATAATGAGTTAACCGGGCATTCAGGACGTCGTAATACCTGGCGTAGCAATTCGAGTAGAAATTTGCAGAAGTATAGTAGTGGCGGATTTAATCGGACATATAAACCTGTAACTAATTCGCATATTGGATATGGGACCCCAGCACGCGAGCCGGTGTAGAAAATCTGAATCGACAGTTCGATTCAGAATATTTTTCTCTTACTATACTGAAATACTCAGCTCCGATCCTTTCAATTTATTTAAAGAGCGGTCGTGTCTACGTACATTTATTTTATTCGCTTCGTATGCTAACCAATAGAAATCCAAGATGGGTGCCATGCCTAAAATTCTACGTAGAGCGCTTACTTTACTCAAAAATAATGCAAAAACGTGGAATTTCTTGCATAATTATTGCCAAGAAGCCCTAATCATAATTCTCTCGCGAAATGCGACAGAAACTGACTTGAGCGCGAATCACAAACGTGAGTTTGGCGCCGAATCGCTCGAACTAATTATCTAACGGCTCGTTTAGTAGTTCTGATGCATTCTTTTATTCCCGGTACGTACTCATTATGAGTTAAACAATTCACTTTTTTTGCATCATGTTCTCGAAGAAAAACCGGGTAAAACATTGTGCAATAACTCAGAAAGGTCTAAACTTTCTTTTGAGAAAGTCGTATGAAAGATGGTTTCTCGTAGACTTTTGTGCTCAGCTTTATCTGCCGTACTTCTGGCTTGTTTTTCTTTATAGCTGAGGACGTTAAGGATTGTGTGTACTTTATTTTAAAGAGCAAGTCGAGGCGATTTACCAAAGCACATGTTACGACTTTACTCAACTGTGAACCGCCCATCAAAGTTTCGAACACTTTTTTCTGATAATCGAACTGCACACATAGAACATACTAGTGTGAACAGGACTTGTTATTTTCCTCCTTCATGGTTTTCCGTCGTAGGTCAACCGATCTTACAGTGTAAATATATACATATAACGAAAAATGAGATTACCGCGGTAAAATATTTTTTACCGTACTAAATTTACCGCGGTAGCGGTGCTAATTTTTTTACCGAAGGTCCGGTAATACTTTTTACCGAATTTTTCTCCGGTAAAGTTTTTTTTACCAAACTGATGTCTGTTATTTTGTTTTTATTTCTTTATTCCCTTCTAATTCTAATCATGCGGTGATATAAATTCATGCATTCTGATAGCTGCGATGATATAAGTTAAGTTATCGATATCGTGTTATCATACGTTTAGTCACTTTCATTTTGCTAGTCAGATTGACGACGGACAAAATAAAATGGAAAAGAAAAGAAAAGAATGATACAACACAGAAAAGAAAAGAAAAGAGGTTTTTTTCCTGGCATTCTCTGTCTGTAACAATCGTTTTTCTTTCTAATGCTCGTCTAGTTTTGTTCTATATTCTGTTATTATCAAAATGGCTTCCAAAAAAGATAGTTCATCTGCTTCTAAACAACGGATAAAAAAACACAAAACCTCAGCTACAACTTCAAACAATGAAGCAATGAATGATAGCTGTAGAATTCAAGTGACGATGAAACTGTACAATCATCGATTTCATCAACAGGATTAAAATCTCAGAAGTCTTATGTCTGGAAACATGTTGTTTTTGACGAAAAAGCAAAAAAAGCACAATGTATATAGTGTTCAAAATTAATATCCTGTTCTGATGGATCAACAAGCGGTTAGCAAACCATCTGAAATCATGTCAAGGTATAACAAAACCAGTTAAAAAGAATGTTGAAGATAAGTCTGTTCAGCCAAAAATAGATGAAAAATTGAAGGAAATAATCCATAGCCGATTACCAAGTTGGAAGGTTGATTCGTTAGATGATACTATTCTTTCGGCGATCATCAAAGACGGAAGAAGTTTTAATGGCTTGAATAAAATCGGAATGCAATTGTTTCTCAAGGAAGCCGTGCCACGATATAAATGTCTAGGTCGATATAAAGTACGTCGAAAATTAAAAAGATTATAAAAGTCTGGCCATCTTACAGACAAAGCAGAAACAAGAAAGTCCCTTTTTTTCAGTTAGTTATAAAAATTCCTTTTTGCTGATCTCCTCATCTGTTAAAACTGCAGTTTGAACATTTCTTCTGATTGAAATTCAAATTTTCAATAATTAAATAAGTGCTACATAAATAAAATCGTGAGAACATAAAAAATTTCCCATCTCCAATCGAATTTTGAACATGAACACGCTCAAAGACTCAAATAAACACAACTTAATATTTTTCAGCTTCGCATAGAGATTAGGGATGTGCAGTGACCGGTAAATATTTTTTACCGTTGTCTCCTTTCAATAAATGTTGTTTGTTTCATAAGGACCGTATATTATATAATTGCCTTAGAGGTAGGGAGTTAGCGGAAATATAGATTTTGATTATCTTAAGTAAGGAGAAGGTCAAATATATCTAAAAAATTACTTATATCATATTTGAATGACTCTAATGTTTGTGTTTCTAAATTTTCTTCAGAAAAATGAATAAAAGTAGTCTGAGTCATGAACATTTTTCTTCAACATTGTTTTTCCATTTTGTTCTCTTGTTTTTGTTGATGGTTGTAGACTAGTGTAAAGATATATTTTTTTTGTTTCTATTATACTGATCCGTATCGAAGATAATTTACCACTGAACAGTCTAGAAGAGCAATTTAAAAAACGTCTATATACATATTTATCTTTTATTGTTTACTTTTGGTTTACTTTTTTTGCGATGAAACAAATTTTCTTATATGTGCGTGTATCTGTGTGTAAGGCACTTTAAAAAACGTGATTGAAAAGATTGCATCGGTTACTATTGAGATGTGACAAACTATTTTTGGTATATCGAACTTTTTTCTATTCAAGATGAAATGAAATCTTCTGAAGTTCTTATGGAGAAACAAGAAGTTAGCTTAATAGTCGCCGGTTGATGCATATTTAGTCCTGAAAAGGATTATTAATTTTCACTTATTCGTAATAATTGTGCGTGTTCTAAGTGAAATTGTTTAACTATTGATAATCCTTTTAGCACGAAAACTTTAATAATATTTCAGAAATGCACAGAATGTTCAAGTTCCTTTTTCGCATAGTGTATTAATATTGCGCTTAACTATTATGTACTTTTTGCAATGCTGGGACAAATCGATAAGATCTATAGGTCAATAGACTATATCCAGAGGAATTGTCCTATGCTTGTACATATTATCAGTAATAATACACTAGCTATTGACTATATCGATAAAAACTTAATGAAGAGTAGAAAGAGGGATATCGAAAATTTTCTCCTAAACTTTTGTTCCAAATTTTTTCTGAGTTTTCTTCCACAAAGAACTTCACTTCCTTCCCCGTGCTATATTTTTACTCAGCACGGCACACTTTGTTGTCGGTTCACTACAACTGTTATTATGTGATATTCTGGTTTGTTTGAAGATTAGTTTAAAAATTAGAAGTTGCGATATTAATTCCCGCTTATTTGCTAATGTGCTTCTCAATGTCTCTGGTATTTATACTCTATCTTATTCAATATTAGATTTAACGTCACAAGATTTTCAGATATAATAAAATTATATATGATAAACAACATGGCATCCATAAAATAACAGGTAGTTGTAGTTTGATATGGTGGTTCTCTGGCAACTCATATGAAGTCTATAGAAATCTATCCTAGAAACTAAATAACATCTTTAAGTTTTGCAACATCAGTAGACAGAACTTGTCGAAATTTGTATTTGTATGAAATTTTCAATAAAAGTTGTTGGTTATTGATGGTTTTATCACAACAATTTTTGACCGTTGGTACCATATGTGATATTTTCATTTTTTAGCTCCTAGAATTGTTTTTCAAATCAGACAGAGAGCATTTTGTTAGCATGAAAAGTGGTAGAAAATACGGCATGGCTCGACTAGTGGAGGCACGTAGTTGATCGGATCAATTTAAGGTGCTGTTTGCCGTATATAGGATTATTAATACTGTTTATCTTCATTTTTAAGGATTCGAGCCGTCTGTATATAAGTTCATCACCAGAAAAATGTACAAAGAGCTATAAGGAGAGATGTTATTTCTACATGAAATTCGTACATGTCTGACGATAGTTAAAATAAAAAAAACACACGATGGTACTAAAAGAGAAGGAAAAGAAATAACCGAATAAAAGTAAAAGTTTTGGCGTGAAAATCAAAGAACGTATCCAATTCTATCAAAAGTAGCTCCCACTGTAAAAAATAAAGTGGGTCACCAGTGAGTAAAATCATCTCAGTAGGTAAAACGGATCCATTTAGATAGGTCACAGCTCACTAGGTGATCTCTGTAACTCAGAGACACTCTACCATTGGGTCACTGACCTACTGGCGGCACAGTTTCCTTAGTTTCCTCAGTGGGTAAAGCAGATCAGTTTAGGTGGGTCGCTCAGTAGGTCACTGACCTACTTTATTTTTTACAGTGTGGAAAATACATTCCATACCCGCTACAATGGCCGCGGTAGAAAGACAATTTAGCTCTGCTGAGCTTGTCGTAACTGAATGGAGATCACGTATAAATCCAGAGCAAGTTGATAATGTTTCATTGATTCGTCTAGTTGAGAGAATGAACAGTCTGTTGCAAAGAAGTACTGCTAATGGACAACTCCTAGGGCATACAAAAGGTTGCTAGATCCATTGGACTATTTGCTCAATCTACTGAACTCGGACTGGACTGAACTCAAATCTGAGTCCATACTGTGCTCTAGTACTATATATGAGCACCTTGTAAACGTTACATTCGAAGTAGTATACATTCTGCTTTTATTTTGGAAGAAATAAAAATACATGAACTTTTCACTTTTTGTAGAGTCACAGTGTTCATATTCCTCCAGTACATCTAACGCTACCTTATCCGCTATAGAATTTTTAGGACTCTTATACAAATGAGAGATCCGAACATTCTTGCAAAGTGTTCAGCGATTTCTGTTGTTCGTGGAGATCTTTTTTGAAAGTAAAATTTTACATGGTCTTGCACGAGTTCTATATACGTGTAAGTAGTCATCGCACCTTTAATGTGATTTGAGGTGTGAGGGTGTAACTATTCTGCAGAAGTGCCCCAAATTAAGAAATAAAATGAATAGAGAAGCTATTATTTGATGTTAAACTTTACTTTGTTGTTTGTTTAGATTCTGTTGTGTCAACCTGGATCCTCCTCCTAT